GGCAGCAGCTACCTATAACTGGGGCTGGCTGCTGGCTCCCGGGAGGCTGCAAACAGCTGCTGCCTCCCCAACTCTAACGCATGCCAAGGAAAATGGCCTCATGTGCCATGCTTGACATGCATGACAGGGGTAGCCAAACCCTGTCCTACAGTCTTCATCCAACACTCATTAAAGTTGTCATTTGGAATGTTGTCCAATGGGATGTCCGTACAACTTCCACAGAACTGCTGAAAGCTTTAAGCACACTTCAGGTATCCGTCCATTCCAGGTTTGCACGAGGCAAACCCAGCAATGAGGCATGGAAGTCATCCTGCAAGTTCCACCTGCTGATGCTCTTGAGATTTCTGACACCAGTATGCTTGAAAGTGGCAGTGGAGGTTTGGTCTCAGATCTGCTAAACTTTCTTGGGCTAGGTACATGTAGAGTGGGAGAAGGTGAACAGGCCATACTTGACAGTGGCACTGGAAAGAGCCCCTGGAAATAATATAGATATGCCCTGGATTAAAGCTGTAGTGTAGCAACCACATAGTAATCACTCTGCCTACAATCGACTATAGTAACCAAGTGTGAAAAATCAGGAAACAGAATTTTGCAAGCTGAAATAACATTTTTTTCCCTATCTCTGAGAACTGCTGGGGAATTTATGCATACAAAGTGATACTTTTATTTTTACTCAGCTGGACATGAGTAGTTGACGTTATGCCCTGTTCTTTCACATGGCAATTGTGTGGGGATTCAAGATTGGGTTTAATGGATGATGCAAATGTACTGTCTTTTGGGAATATCTTTTATATTGCAAAGCATGTAATGTTGATTTTGCCTTTGGGGGACTATAATACTAAGGTACCTGTAGTAGCTTTCTATTTAAGGATTACACTCTGATTTACAAGATATACATGGCTAAAGAAAAAAATGGTGAAGTACCACTAATTATTAATCAAATCAGTTGGGATCACAAGAGTTAAATCTGTAGCTACTCTCAGGCATTAACTTAATGCCTTTCTTTTTCTGGTTTCAACAGAAAGACTATGTGGATACAGAAATCAAATATGAAAGTGAAGAAATAGAAATAATTGCTGTCGAAGAAATGGCATTGCCTCCCAAAGAAAAATGAAGCATTTGGATTCCCTAATTCAAACACTAGCATAAACTTTTGGCAAGTCTAGGATATTTTGTATGACTTTTCACACATTCTCCTTAGTTTTCACATGGATGGTAGCACTGAGTACTGTACTGATTTAGCTTGTCTGTCACTTTCATTGAATATAGGTTGCTTTTAGCGGTGTCAAATTTTAACTTTTTCAGCTAAAATTTTCTGTTTGGGATTTCTACCTCAATGTGAATATCCCCTCTACATTTCAATGACAAATTTTCAGTAATTTATTGGTATGTCTTTAGGGGAAAAGATATGTTGTTCTGCCTACTTAAAAAAGAATCCTGTGGAAATATCAGAATCAGGAACCTAAATTCCACCTACAACCTGCTTTAGGGCATGGAAGTCCTTTATTGAACCTTGTCCTAAGTGACTGTTATGGAACTAGCTGTATGTCCTTCCACCAGAGAGAGTCTCTCTGCGTGCACCCATTCAGGAGTCAGGCCTTGTGCTTTTACCTCCTAGACCAGGATCTGGCTACCATTTTCTGGCTATCAACCATTTTTAGTTGTGGCCCTTTTTTAATAACTTCAGAAAAATTATATTAAAAAAGGTTGACTTTGAAGCCTTTCTTTGAATAACTCTAGAGACGAGGAATGCCAGAATAAAAGTTCCCGATTTACCTTTAACTTGCCTTCCATGTGTGCCTTTTTCCACTCCTAGTCTGGATGCTGCTCAATGAATGGGTAGCTCTTCAGTATTTTATTTAAGCCTCATTATTCCACATGTCCTTATAGCTTTGTGCCTTCCAAGCATTAATGAACTCATCTGCACAAAAGCTCTTGAGAAGCAGGCATAGAGTAATCTCATTTCTTTTACAGATGAGAAATTGAAAGAAATGAAAGCGGAGCAGCTAAAATTGTCGACTACCTGCAGCTTGAGTGCCTAGGTCAATGGTCTTCAACTTTTTTGAGATTCAAGGCACCCCTCAGAAAATGGCCACTCTTAGCTGTCACTCATTTTTGTTGCAAAAAATTCAGACAGAACACAAAAGAGGTCAGCATGTTTTTAAGACTGTGAATTCCTATTTGAAATCTGTTTATCTTGTGAATTAGGTTTGCACACCTAAAAGTGCTTACATTGCGTGGCACCTTGCAGCACACCTAGAAGGATCTCAGGACACCCTAGGGGGCCATCACACTATGGTTGAGAATCACTGGCCTAGCTTGAGATATCTAGGGTCCAGTTGTACTACATACATCTGCACTCCCTTTGTGCAATTAAAACTGGGTTAGCACATACATGGTTCGTATAAAAAAAAGTGGCTCAATAGGTACAGATGGAATGTTCACGATTAAAATTTAAAAAATAAATGAAAGGGAGAAAGATGGTATTTATATACGTTTAAAGGCTAGCTTTAAAAATTGCCTGATATCTTAATTTTAAAGAATATTTTGTCTTTTATACCTTTTCAGGTATTTCATATGGTTCAAAATATAAATCATATCCCTTTTATGGCCTTTAGCCTACCTCTTATATGTTCCATTATAAAAATAATGCTGGGGTTTGTTTTCCACTCTTTTTACTCATTTTTAGTGTGAATGTCTGGACATCTTGGGCATCTATACATATGCTTTGGAGTGGAGGTGGGGGGAGTGCTTCAAAATGGCTACGGGGCAATTTAACTAAAGCTTGTTTGATGAGCTTTACTTAAAGCACCCCCGCCACCATTTTGAAACAGGGGGACACTGAATACACGTGATGTGGAGGCTGCTGGATTAATTGAGTCTGCTCGGATGCTTGCTAGCCAGCATTCCCTCTAAGCTGTGTGGTATGCATGGCCACGCAAGCGCACCCGGCAGTGTGGCATGAGCGCACCTGTGTGACCACGCACGCCACACAGCTTAGAGGGTACGCTGTTGATAACTAGCATGTGTCGGAGCAGAGGTCTGTAATATGTATAGGTGCCCCTAAGTTATATCTCTTTTCCTATAAGAGCCTTCCTTTAAGGTTTTTAACTTTAATTTAATAGATACATTAGAAAAAAAGGTTTTTTGAACTATAATATGAAAACTTTGTAAAGTCTCATTTATCTCCTATAGTTTCCATACTGTGTTCCCACAGAATAACAAACTGCTAAACGTGATACTTAAAAAAACAAGTAACACACTGAGATTTATAGCAAGGATGAAAAAGATGCAAGATCTATTGAAATTGCTTTTAATAACTCTTCCCCCACAATTGTAAAAGCTTGTTTCTTAAATAGAATTGAAAATACTTTTCCAAATCCACTGATTTTTTTTCAGTGGTAAAGACAGATTTTGAGCCTTCCATTCATGGGCTGGCAACAACATGCAAAGCATAATACAGTAGTTCTGATTAGCTCAGCTCAGCAGCTATGTGAGTATAACAGGGTGTCTATACCTTCAAGAAGGAACAGTCAGCCCTATTGAGAGAGCCCAACTGCAGGACATTTGAATGGGCAGGGAGTGTCCAACTCAAGGCTTTATAAAACTCCCAGAAGAGTAAGCAAGGGAGGAGGAAGTGAACTGTTAGCAGGACAGCTTGCTGCACAGAGGGGCCAGGCTTCTGGCCTAGGACCAGAACCAACAGGCTCCCCTCCTTGTGCCCAGGACAGGGCTGAAGGGTTGGGTTTTGTTTGTGTATTTGGTTGCTTGTTTGCTGCTTAAAGGTTGTGTTTTATTTAGGAGGACTGCCTGAGGAATGCCTGTGGGAACAAAACCCACCTGCAGAATCCAACAGCTTAGGCATCCTGCCTGGAGTCCCTGCCTACTACCATGAATTATAGCAAATTCCAGGAAAACTAAGCTCTGTGTAAGAAGCAGAGAAATCATTTGCCCCTTTTTTCGTCTTGTGAAGAAAGAAAGAGAGTACAATTTCTTTTTTCTCAGCCACTAGCTCAGCAGGACACAGGGGCAGCATCCAGATGTGCAGGGGCATGCAGATGCAGTGGCAAAAATAGTAGCAGCACAAATTTGCACCACTACTTTTTACTGCATCATATGCCCCTGTACGCATGCTTTGTTGAGGGATAGATTGTCCTGCTCCGGGCAAATTGCCCTTGTCCAGTTCTTCCTGCCTCCCAGTGTGCTGGAGGAGCTGGAGAATAACTGAAGGAATGGAGATCTCTGGCCAGCAGCCTGAGCACCTCCTTTGAATAGTACCACACTTTGACCTTCATGTCTTCCAGTGTACACACCTGTTGCATGTGCCATGTCGTGCTTTTTCCCGGAGATTTTTTTTTCTACTAGGATTTCCTGGTAGCAACTTTTGGCCCCACTCCATAAATTTGTAGCATGGGGCAGGTTTTAACATTCCCCATGTACAGTCTGTGGTGTCACAAACTGCATGCCCTTGCTTCTCTGGAAACATGCAGGAAGATCACCTGAAATACATTTCAAAAACTCAGTTCAACTGCCACCTCTCAGTTGTATCTAAAGGTAGGTTGACTCTAGAGTCACTGCACCCCATGCATGCTTACCCAAGGCAGTATCAAACCAGTTGCCTGGGGGAAAGGGGTAGAAATGCTGCTGGCCCCATGGCTGTAGCAACACAGATCTTGGCCTGGTTTGCCAACCTGTTCTAGGGGTCTTGTCACACGTTCACTTGCAACAATTACAAATCACTGGAATACAGTGACCTATTAAAGTTAGTAAGTGTTAGCACAGGGGTGGGCAAAATAGGGCCCACAGGCCAGATCTGCCCCATGAAGGAACTTTTCTGGCCCACAGCAGGTCCTTCCATCCCACCTGGCCCAGCCACCATCTGGCCCATGGTGTGTCCTGCTGCCCCCTGGGCACATAGCTGGACTGCCTTTCTAAGTAGACCAGGCGGTGGTGGCTCTTTCTGGCTGCCGCCACCACTGGCTTCAGCCCCATGGTATTGGCAGGGATCCACATACACAGCCCCAACTCTGTCCCACCCTGCCTCTGCTCCAGACTCACCCGCCCATGCTGAGCAGGAGTAGTAGCAATAGCAACCAAGTAGAAGCTGCTGCTTAGCGTGTGGGAAATGCAGCCCCTCCCCTTTGCCACTGTTGGTTGCTTCTTACTGCAGCTGCCTGGAGCCCGTGTCTGGGCTGCCCTGTGGCTCCTCTGCACTGCCACCACTGCGCCACTGGGTGGCCCAGAGGCAGCAGTGGAGAAGAGCCACAGGGCAGCCAAGGTATGGGCTCCAGGCAGCTGCAGCAAGAAGGGCCTGGCAGTGGTGAGGGGGAGGGACCATTTTTCCCCTATGCTGAGCAGCAGCTTCTGCCCGGCCACAGCCACTGTTCAGCATGGGCAGGTGGTCTGGAGCAGGAGCGAGGCAGACCAGGGGCAGGGCTGTGCATGCAGGTTCTGGTTGCTGTGATGAGGGTGAGTCCAAAGTGGGCACCGGTTGGGCCAGGGTTGGGGCCAGGGCTGTGCACTGTTGGTGTTGGCAGGAAGGAGCTGCAGGGTGCGTGGGCTCTGGGCTATTGTGGTGGGGTAGGTCGGGGTGCTGAACAGCCCATGGCAGCTCCCCAGAACTGCTTGTGTGGCCTGCAGGCCCAAATAATTGCCCACCCTTTGTCAGCAGATTACCCTTAACTAAAAGGTAACAACTTTGCAATGCCACAAGGGCGCATAACACATGCTACACTGCTTGAACATGAATCTGCTTCTGTTTTAATTGCACTCAGTAAGTTTTAAGTTGGGTGGATGTCAAGATGTGTGACACCACCCAAGGTGAAAGCCAGCTGTTGTTCACAAAAGCTTATCCCTCCCTGGGCACTTGTATGCATGACAAAAGTTGTCCATTTTTGTGGTTTAATTGCATCACACTTTACACATATGGGGGTTTTTTGCAATTTAAATTAGTTTGTTACCTTGCAAACTAAACCACATCCTGATGTGTTTTAGTTCACAACAACACAAATTGCAACGATACAGCCATTAATCTGTCACATGCACATGGCAATTCACTGAATGACATGTAATGAGCTCCTTTGTCCAACAGATCTTGCTTCAATTTGCAGGTATTTGTGTGTAGTAGAAGTTTTCAGATACCAGGTGTAGCTGCACAGCCCAACATAAATCTATCTTCTGCTGACCTGTTATTAGAATTTTATTAAATAAAGAACTCTAAGAAATTGTCTATACTTATTTTGCTTGGTGTGGTGGGTGTTTCAGGGGTGTTGGGCATGGCCAGGTGTTGGGCACCTATTAGGGGGGCCTCTCACTCCTCACCCACAACCCACCTGGGCCCTGCTGCCCCTGGCTCCCCAAGGGGGGCTGTGATTGCTGGGGCCCCATCAGCCCATAATCCACCCCTGATTAATGCAAGGAATTAATAACCACATGACTGGATTACTTGGGCACCTGGGAGTGGTTTCATTTGCTGTTCAAAACAAATGGTGGCCACCTGGTCCAGAACTGCAGGTTCATCCTGACATTTTGCCCCGGGAGCTGCCTTCAGTATTCTGCCTTCAGCAGGCTCCTGCAGCTGGCTACCTCTCCCCATGGGCAGCGTGGGGCAGGGCGATCGGCTAGGGGTGTCAGGAATGGCCAGGTGTCAGGCACCTGTTGGGGGGGCTCTCACTACCCACCCATGGCCTGCCTGGGCCATTCTGCCTCTGGATCCCCAAGAGGGGCCTCAATTGCTGGGGGTCAGGTCAGCCTATAATCCACCCCTGGTTAATGCAAGGAATTAATACCATTTGGCTGCCTTACATGGGCACCTGGGAGCGGTTTTCAGTTGCCAATCAAAGCATATGGTGGCTGCCTGGCCCTAGGACTGCAGATTCATCGTGCAGGTCTGGGTGTCAGGCACTTGTCATGGGGGCCTCTTGTGACAGGGGGCCATCTCAAGGCCAGTCATGACATCGGCCTGCTTACCTCTATAGGGCAGTCCGCCTTGTCTCATCTGCCATGCCTTGATGTATCAAAATAGATGGAAAATGCAGGAAGCTGCCCATTTTATTGCTCCAATGCCCAAGGCTTAATATATGGCTCCAAACCTCCCCTTACACCATGTCCCATGCCTTGCCAATGGCATCCAAAACCACTTCTGAATCCCCCAGCCCTTTAGCTGGGCCGCAGTCCACCTCCAGCCCACATTTGGTCTCAGGTGTCCTCAGACATACCTTGGACTCTCTGCCCCCTCACTGAGGCCACTATTCTGGACAGCCTATGCACAGTCCTTCTGGCCCCCAAAGACCCTTCTCTACATAGCCTCCAGACTTCTGTCCCACACCAGGTGAAACAGCCTCTAGCCCCTCTCTGGGCCATTATTTTGCCCCTCACTGGGGCCACTGCTCTGCCCCTCACTGGACTCCTGGGCCTTATTCCCCTTAGGCCTCAGGTCCTGCTAGGTGGACCTTGGTCCTGTCTCAGTCTCCAATCAATGGGCCTGGACCCTGCCTCAAACCCTACTCTGTGGACCTAGGCCCTGTGCTTTTCTGATGGGGTGTGCTCCCCTAGCCTTTCCCCTCTGCAGGGTACCCACAAGGCAGCAGGGACTGAGGCTTTCCAGCTCCCCATCCTCACTTTTTACTGGTGAGGCGTAGGTGTGGCATTTCCTGGAGACTGTCCTGCCACAGACAGCCACACCACACGATCCAACCCCTGCAGGGTGTCATTTCAGGTCATGCCCCAGAACCAGGGACCTCCTCTATCCCAATAGTTCCTACCTTGACCTTCAGGTGCTCTGAGAGCTGCTCTCCTCAGGCTTTGCAATGTT